TCCAATCATATGTTTTATTCACAGCGTGGGGTGAAAATAAAGAAGTCCTACATGAAATATAAACAGAACATCAAAACAAATTCAATAAATTCCAATCATATGTTTTATTCACAGCGTGGGGTGAAAATAAAGAAGTCCTACATGAAATATAAACAGAACATCAAAACAAATTCAATAAATTCCAATCATATGTTTTATTCACAGCGTGGGGTGAAAATAAAGAAGTCCTACATTACATATTTTGGTACTAGTTTATATAAATCGGGACTATTTTCTTTGGCAAAATCAGCAGATTATGAGGAACAAGCGTAATTGTAGTGCACGGCTATGTTTGCAAAACTGAATCCCGGCAAGATGGCTGCCAGGCTTGAGACAGAATTCGGAGGCCGATGTATAGGCCTACCACTGAACGCCCCAACTGGCCCCAACGCCCCAACTCGGCATGTGGTATGATGGTTGCTCGGCGGCCATTAGAGCCGTAGACGCAGTAACATAGCAACCAGTAACCAGCTCTGAACGGGACACTTATACAGTTTAAAATCAAAACAAATACATTAAATGAAACAAGCGGGAATGTCGATCATAACCAAAGCACAACAGCAAGTCTCGTCAAACCGTGGGGGTAAAATGTTGACCATCAATGTAACATCACATTTTATCAAACACATTTTATAAAACAGTATTTGGTTTGTAAACAATTAGCTTGGAGAAAATAGTTGGAAAATGAGTTTTACAATTCTTTACCGAGCTACTTATACGTGTTGAACTTAAAATATGAGATTAGTAAAAAATAAAACCGTATTGTTTTATCATTAGTTCGCAACATCTATATTATTGAAAGGATTTCTTGGATTTTTGTTTTTAGAAAATCTAATCCTAAATATTTCTGTTTATAGGCATATTGATTATCAATTTAAATCTCTTATCCTCTAGATGTCCCTTTTGCGGGTTTTGATGATCCCGTGAAAGACCTTCATCCTATAGGGTTTTAAAATTTCAGAATTTTCGCTGAATTCTGTTGTCAATCATATGCACTTTTTTCAAGTTTTCATTTTGTTTACATCAAAACAGATGGTCATGATACGACTTTGTTTACATCCTTATGAAAATGGGGGTATCGTTACAGTTGGTGAAGTTTCAGTGAATTCAATTGAAATATTGTAATGTTATTTGTATGAAATGTAAAAAATAAAATAACTCTCAACGATTTTGTGTTTTCATAGTGGTAGTGAGGTTTAATTAACATTTGTAATTTTTCGATAACTCGTAGAGATCGCGCACGCAATGCAAATAATAGGGATTCTGTATGTTCTGTGTGTAATTAGAACAAAACAGTATTTATCAAAGTACAATTTTAACTAACTTTATTCAACACAAATTAAAAACAAAATGAACAAGTAAACATTATAACCAGCTGATAATAGTTATAAAATAAATACGCAATAAGTAAAGGTACACATTTAGGATGTAACACCGTATAATGAGAAATAATCGTTTTCACCTTTTAGAACATTAAAAGATTGTAAATTTGAAGTGACGATGGCTGCTAGCTAATATAAATCAAAATTATCATTAAGAAGTATTGGGATAGGAATAATCTTTGACGTAACCTTAAGATCATTGATCAATAAAACAATGAAACTTTATGAAACAGCATTTGAACAAGTATAATCATGCGTAATTGGGTATAAAAATGCAACCACCAGTTTTACATCGTAATCAATCGTGTTAATCATTCGTTTTGAAATAAATAAATGAGTTAAAGAATAACGCAGTATTTTTACTAATTAATTTTTGACATTAATATAAATCAAAATTATCATTACAAAAACTAAAGATGTAAAAGCCCGCCGAAAGGTATGATTTCTGACGAATGTTGCGATAAAATACGAAAAATACTTCGTTTAAACACCATGTAGTAGTTACGCATAAACATGCATTAGGGTCAAATACCTCATCTAACGACTATTTCAAGTGTACCTACATCAACTAAATCATAACTACCATGAGTTGTAAAAGTTGTTTACACTACGATCACGTAAATATAGCCTTTACGACACATGTAGAAATTTTAACGACTATTTTAAAACTTCTACGAGTGTCGTAAAAACTAATTACGCGAGTTGCTTGCACTACTTTGCCTACGACCGTATTTTAGGTGCGTTTTTGAAACTTCATTGCCTAAACTCTTTATATTATTTTTTCAGGGAACAGGTGTTGCTAGCAGCATTCTTACTATAAGTACTGTTTCAAATACAAATAGAGAAAGACTACGTTTTTTGCAATATTGAACGAATCTAAACAGTTTAGTTACAGAATTAAAATAAAAGATTTAAGTATCTTATATTATTATTATTATTATCAGTGGACGATAGCAATAAAAGTTTAGAACATGGTAGTCGGGAGATCAACAATTTATTGAATTGGTCATTATTCTAATCCTCCTAGGTCGTTACCAGTTGATAAGTTGGTGTTCCAAGCATTACAATTTTACTTCTTTTCTCTCAATCCATGTACTGTACCCCATTGGTCCGTCAATTTACCACACTGGTGCTGTCAAGTAAGTAAACAATGCGGTAAAGTGAATCCCTTCGATTCCAAAGGCTAGTTTAAAAACGATCATAGGTAAAGGCAGTAAGCATACATTAAAATGCCGTAAACAATATTAAAATACAGCTCATACCATATGAATATTGCATGTTCACTACAACAAAATTATAGAACTGCGAATCTTATAAACATAACAATCCTATTTCTGGGTAAACGATAATTTAGGACTCGTAAAAACTTATCAGTTCAAAATACCCCAAGAGGTAGTGTTATCTACAGCTGTACCTCGAGATATGCACAAGGCCCCCCATTACTGATAAGGGTCTTTTGTTGCGTTGTTGTAACTCCCAATGGACTCGACAGATACTAATGACGTTTTCTGGCTAAGCGTAATAGCCTATAAGTCATTTTGGAAAGTAGTTACCCCTAAAAATATTTGGCTAAGATTACTGATATTATGTAAATTAATAAACATATTGAAACTCCAAAAGTTATGTCGAGAGAATAGAGGGATGATAATGTCATTTTCTGACAAACCTTAATCGTCTATATGTCATTTTAGAAAGTACAGTAGTTAACACAAAGTAATATTTTGCTAAGATTTCTATTTTTATTGATTTGTAAACATATTAAAATTATAAAAATTATGTCGAGAGAATTTGTGAGAGAGTTGCTAAATCGACATAACTTACTTTTGATTCCATTTTGATTTGTTTGAATAATTGTATAGCATATTCTCAAGAATGGGACGTTAAAAAAAAATCATACATAGGTATTGCGGTGTCAATATCACCTAGGCTTTAATTTGCATGGCCCCGTATTAAGACTGTTATGTCAAACATTAAATTTATTAATAATTTAAAATAATCAACAATAGCTAACACTTTCAATATTTGCCAATATAGTTATGAGATTGTTTTGTCCCTAAACAGTTAATCTCTGTACTTTTAGTTTGGTTGCGGTAGGAAAACACCCAGTAACATATATGTAACATCAACAATGTCGTCAATAAATTTAAGACACGAGTTAATTAATGTTCAAATAGTCTTTAATATTTTTAAGTCTGTACATATTTTATGAGTTTCATAAAGATACGTAAAGCTGATCAATACCTCATTGTACAATAGAAATACAGGCCTAGGAAAACTTTGAATGTAGGAAAAGTTATGTATTGTCACAGAAAACATACTACTATAACATACTACATGGTTATAGTATGTTTTCTGTGGTATTGTGCAAACTTCTTTATTCTTTCCCCACGCTGTAAATAAAACATATGATTGGAATTAATTTCATTTTTTTTTATTTTCTGATTATGTTTTGTTGTTATTTCGTCACCAACATGGCAACCCATGAGGCCAATGTTATTTTTATTATTTTAAATTCATTTTTTGTGCTTATTTTTGAGCCTATTTTAATTGATAAAGGGATATACTTTTCTTAGTATGCATAGACTTTTCCTACGATGCACACGAGCCGAAAAAAAAGGTTTAAAAAACATGCATGCCTATTAATGTACAGAAGGTAATTAGCCCCATATTAAAAAATCTCTGTAAGAAAAGTTGAATTTCCATTTTTGACCCTGGAATTAACATAAATATTTTCAAAATACAAATAAGACCTGCACATATAGGACCGATAACCTTTCTTGTTGTACAACCCGCGTGTAATTCGGTCCAATAGTAAGGTCAGGCTAGCTGTCATAAGTTTTGCAAAAGTTTTTTTTATATATAAAAGATAAAAAAACAATTGTTTGGCTGTATTCAAACTTTATAGTTGAAATGTTTAACTTAAACGAAATGCAATATAGAAGTCAATCGCGCATTTATCTCGACAACAAAGTTAGACGTTCAAATTTGGAAAGCAGTGAATATGCGCTCCTGCACTTAACATTTTTGACCACAATAAACAACGGTACATCGACTCGATTGAGAAGAATACCTTGAACGAAACAAGAGAAGATGTGAAACCCCAATCCGTATAGCAAATGCAGGTAACCTAGATCTTTTGTCAAATGTAGGCTCAAAGTCCAGGGGACCATCATAAAGTGCAGATGGCCGAGCATTGAGGAAATACTGTGAACGAGGGATGGGGTGGCGTTCCTCGAAATTAAACAAAGATTTGGAATTCGGTTTTTACATCTGTCAGGTAGATGACCTGGTCAAGGACACACTCTTATGAAGTATTAGCAAGGCATGACAACCGATCTCTTACAGAAATCCTGCAAACGAGTGTTTTAGTGATTAAAAATGTCCATTTACAATCCAAACACTGATTACAGCATGCCTTTAGGCAACCAACGGATGTACTCCAAGCCCTCCAAGCAGGCAACGCGCTCACACACCCGCGGATGCTATACCGGCCACGTTTACTATTATAACCGTAAATATTCAGAAAGATGTCAGCTGCGACGGTCCCGTGGTGTAAATCTGGATTTTCGTGCGGCTTACCTTGTTTTGATTACTCCAGCTGATGATTATGTTTTGATGATGAGCTGGTATTGTTGTATTGTTTGACAAAAAGAGACGAGTGGGTACATCGATACATCCAACCGACAGAAACAGAAAGCATTATGGTGAATTTCATCATTTGATGCGTGTCCTCGAATCTGAAAATGACAAATTAAATTATTCACTTGTTTCAGAATGAATGTTAAGTGCGACGGTCCCGTGGTGTAAATCTGGATTTTCGTGCGGCTTACCTTGTTTTGATTACTCCAGCTGATGATTATGTTTTGATGATGAGCTGGTATTGTTGTATTGTTTGACAAAAAGAGACGAGTGGGTACATCGATACATCCAACCGACAGAAACAGAAAGCATTATGGTGAATTTCATCATTTGATGCGTGTCCTCGAACCTGAAAATGACAAATTAAATTATTCACTTGTTTCAGAATGAATGTTAAGAATGAACGCTTTTTACATGAAGCTCTTTACGCTCTTTGTAAGAATGATATGCTCAAAATGTGTCCGCCACGTTTAAAAATGTCGCTGAAGGCTGAAGGAGCGAACGGTAGCCCCGCGTTGGACGTGACCGTGGAAGGTATAAGCGATTTTTTACAAGTAAATAGCATACATACAGCAACGTACGCCATGTACAGTGTGGAATCAGGTATAATGTAGCCCTGGTGTGGAGTGACCTAGAATCTTTTATACTAGCGGTTCCCTAATTTTGTCCAAACCAGCTTCATCGTAGATTTGTTTACATCCCTCATATTGTATTAGCCTACACATTAAAATTGTTATTATTACTATTTTATGTTGTGCTATAGGCTATTTAATTGAGCAAAGTTATTATAATTGAAGACTAGCCAAAACACTATTATTTTGAAAAATGAAAATTGACGAGACATGTGATGCTTTTGTTTACCAATTTCCCAACACACTTATGATCAATTCGTGCGTTCGTGGTATACCACGATGTTTTCGTGATAACGAGAGATGATATCGACGTAACCGTGATCACAGGACACAAGGCCCACGAATGCTTGAACAGAACTTAAGGCTAAGCATGACGTAAACGGGATCCCACCACGAAGTATATACTATTTATGAAAGATAAATTTTCCAATAAACTTTCGCAATGACACACTGCTATCAAAGTGCGAATAGTCTTCATCAGTGTTTTATTGATTTGATTTGATTTTTAGGAGTAAATCATCAGTTGATCGAGTAAAACAGTGGCATTAACAAAACAGTGGTATCCGCGCAAGTATACTATTCATGAGTCCACTAACACTAGACGAATATTGTTTTGAAATAAACGAAATTGTACTCGAAAAGGTACTAGGCAAAGGGATGTATTGATGTGAAGATTAAAAAGGTTTTTCAGCAATTGCAGTTCCCTAATAAGTTTCCTAAACGCCTTTAAGGAGGTGGTCTACTACTAGTGATGTGGGCCGGGTGGTTATACCAATGTTATACACAAAATATTGTGGGTATTTATAAAAAGTATAAACATCAACCGTGTTTTGCATAGTTCAATGGATTTTTAATATCAAAATGGGTATAAATGACATGAAATGGGTATGAAATGAGAAATATGGGGAATTAAAAACTCGTGAAACACCCATACGATAAAAGTGGGTATTTTAAGATTGTTAAGCGGGAATTTATAATTTTAACCGTGGCGTCGGTTTTATAGATATGAGGACCGGCATACAAAATGACAATTTTTGGTGAAAAAACTATAAACATTAAACATTTAAATGTTTACTTAACACAACATACTTTTTTTTTAACTTATTGACACAAGATAACTTTTGTAGTACCGGTATGTGAATTTACTTGGAATTATAACATGTAGGCCTATATAGCATCACAGATTCAAGAGTTGGTCTATGATAGTATGAAGGTGGAAAATAAATAGTGAACTACAAGAATATGATTTTGACAACAGTTGGTAATGTACGTTTGATACATAAATATTCCAGAGATACCTAAACATCTGCATTTTCTATATTATGCTTGTGGGTTTCCTGATTCTTGACAAACAGCGCAGCAAGTGAGCACGCTTGGGACGTGGCGTTTTGGGTGTGTTAAAAAATGTGTTTATGTAGCCCTTGGGCTGTTGATAGCGAGATTTGTTATCTATATTATAAGCACCATACGGTATATATTGTAGTAGAATCTATATACCAAGTATGATCGTATAATTTATGTTTATCTCAATTTTGTTTTATTGCATACTTTTACCATGACCATAGTTGCACCATAGTTGCATAAAGTATAATTAGAAAGTAATTGCTAATATTGCAAAGTTCTTTCAGCGATTAGATGTTTATGGTTTGTAATAAGAACCAAATAATTCATAATTAATCTTAATTCATAAAAAATAATCCTGATTCATAAAATGCGTCTGTTTAAGATATTGTTTTAATTATTGAACGCAGTTAACCACAATCGAGCATATTCACCCCAGAAATGAAGCGTTGTCAGTTATATTGTCTTATATTGGACTCGTCTTATATTAGTATTTTTTATTTGAGGTAAAGTCTTGGTGATGTGTCTATTTAAATATTAAAAATACACTTCATGTTCTAGCCTGAAGATTGGCGGCATTTTTGGCAAGTACAAAAAGCCGACCTGTCGCCAAAATAGGGGTGGGTGTCTGCTCTCACACCCTTGTCGGCGCGGCTCAGGGGTTTATGGCGGGCCCATAATAAGGCTAATTTTAGCGAACAAGTTAAAACTGGGACAGAAAAGCGTGGGAACAGGGCTGTAAACATATTTGAATGTGAGACAACTTTGGTCGCGGCGCCAACGACTGACCAACCCTTGTTGAGTCATAGATCGGTGGCAAAAAATACAGTGACAGCAATTCAGCACAATTATGGGCCATCAGAAAACCTCCAAGGTCAGAACAACGTGAGAACAGGGTTGGAAAATGTTAAGAAAACCCAACCGACTAACCAGAGGGTAAATTCAGTTAGTGGGAACAGCATTGGGGAAATATACAAATTACGATAGCGGTTGTTATGATTATGGCAACAGACACAACAATGAATAAACTGACTCTTACAAGCATTTAAACAATTAAACATTTGTGATCAATAACACTATAAACATCAGTGTAAAATGTCTAATATCCACAAATAACCCCTGCTAGAAGTATTAAATTAATCTGAACTAATTGGGCACGGTATCCGAGTTGTATGGATTACTGGAAGTCCCAATTATTATTTTACTACTAGCTGTTGTACCCGTGCTTAGCAACGGGAAGAAGACACAAAATAAAAACATTTTAATCTTTACATCTGTTGCATATAATAGTTACACATCCGCCAACCCTTTTACAAAATTCAACTTTTATAGCCTTAATAGAAACGTTTAAGTTATATGACTTTTAAATCTGGTAAGTAGTGGATACCACCATTTTGGTTTTGATTAATTTTAAATCTTGTGTAGTAGACCATGAGCCACCAATATGAAACCCTCCCCCCCCGTGGGAATTTATGACTTATACTTTTTTTTGTTGGTACTAGTGGCTTGTAGGGACATAAGTCCCTAAAAAGCTCAAATGTAAAACAACTTTTTGCAATACCGGTATTTAAACAAACTTAGAATAACATTATCTATGTGTCAGAATAGGCATCCCTACACCATATCTTTTGTGTAAAAACCAGTTTGTTGTTCTTCTTTGTTTGCTTTTGTTGATGTCATTTTCAATAAATAATTTGAATCACTCCAGTGGTTTAACATGAAAAGGCAGCAAACATATCATTGTTTGTGAATAAATACTGGTTTACTAAGGTAGCTTTGGTCTTGTAGTTAATGAGGATAAATAAAAGCTTCCCTGTTTGGAATTTTAAAAATTCATTGGAGGTTCGCCTTCAGATGAATTGAAGACGCCTGCAATTTCATCTGCAGTAGGCTTATTATACATACGACGATCCATATTTATCCTGTCTACAAACCTAAGTTCTAATTCACTGTCACCTTGTACAACCATTTCTTCCGAAGCTCTTTTGTACATTTGTGCAAATGGATTTTCTAATAGAGTTTCAGCTAGTTTTGACAATATTTCAGGTTTTAAGTCACTATTTTCTCGACGCCTTTGACGAATTTCTGTTGCTGTTGATGTGTCAATAATGTACAATTGGCCATATACACATCATGTTGAGGCAGCAAATCTGAGATTGAACGATAAATCTGTCCTTGAATTTTGAAACAGTATGGTCCTTTTCCTGGATATTTATCCTGTCTACAAACCTAAGTTCTAATTCACTGTCACCTTGTACAACCATTTCTTCCGAAGCTCTTATGTACATTTGTGCAAATGGATTTTCTAATAGAGTTTCAGCTAGTTTTGACAATATTTCAGGTTTTAAGTCACTATTTTCTCGACGCCTTTGACGAATTTCTGTTGCTGTTGATGTGTCAATAATGTACAATTGGCCATATACACATCATGTTGAGGCAGCAAATCTGAGATTGAACGATAAATCTGTCCTTGAATTTTGAAACAGTATGGTCCTTTTCCTGGAATATCTTTCTTACTGGCTGAAAAATAAGCAAAAGCCATCGCACTGTTGCATTGTCGAATGAATTTATACAGTTGTGGGCTCTCTTCAAACAAACTTTTAAGTTCTACATTAGTTTTTGACTGAGGAAGGTTAATAAGTCCGTTATGGCAACATGGCATAAAATGATTATTCGTTAGTTCTTCTCTAAAATGAAGAGCACTACATTGAATGCACTCTTGGTCCAATAATCCTGCATCATGGATCTTTACATTTCTCTCGTCTACCATGGGTCTCCTAAAAAGGGGTTGTAACATATCTTGATTAAGTTCGTCATTATCTAATCTTGCTCTCCTACGCGCACTGTCATTCCTATGAACAGTTCCCCGCCTTTGTGGTATTCCCCTGGCGTTCATACTAATTACAGTACTTATAATGAAAAGAATATATATCCAGCAGCCTACATACCAAAACATCTTGAATCCCTGGTGATTTTATAAAAGTATGATCGAATATGATTACTCTACGTTGTATATTCACTGCACTAAAAAAAATTACTTACGAAGGAATGCAAATACACAATTTTAGAACCAATAACATTTATAGGTTATTTTAGTTGTATATATTCACACAACCTTAACCTTAAAATGTGTAGAAATATAAAGAAAACAACATCATTTAAAATAAACTTGAACATATGATTTAAAAATAAAAACAAAACAGAAGTTAGATTTAATTTCGACTCTTTGATTATTTATACAGAATATTTATTCTATGTCGTTTATTCCTTTAACACGACAATAACGTAAAAGCATGAAAAAATGAAACTTGAGTATATGATTTAAATATAAACAAAGAATGCAGACGTTTTTCCGACTAATCTTCAATATTTCAGT